CTGATGATAAATGAAAAAATATCCTCAGGTGAAGAATAAAAAAAAATTCAATGTCATGTGCCCAGCCAGTGGCTCAGTGGACTGAACATTGTCCCACGCACCAAGAGATCACTGGTTCCATTCCTGGTCAGGGCACATCCCCAGTTGTGGGCTTCATCCCCAGTAAGGGGCGTGCAGGAGACAGCTAACTGATGTTTCTCTCTCATCAATGTTTCTATCCCTCTCTCCCTCTCTAGAAATTAAAGAAAACATTGAAACAATTCAATGTCATGAGAACAAATAAGGGAGGTTCTAGAATAAGAGAAAGAGTCAGAGTAGCAAGTGCAACGGTGTGAGCCTTGGTTACTTTCTGGTGAAGAAAAATGTCTGGGGACAACTGGGGGAAATCTGACCGTGAACTTGGGGAGGGAGCACTGAATGTGGTGTGACCATGATGAAGTGCTCACAGAGGTCGCCCTCTGGCAATGTTGGCTCAGACGGTTCAAACAGACAGTATAAACCAGACGCACGAGGTTCACGTGAGGCGACGAGCTGTGGGTGTCGGTGCGCAGCGTGTTCGGCTCTCACGCACATTCAGAAAGCTAAAGGCTCCTAGACAGACAATACGGTGATGACCAGAGGGAAAGGGGGTGGGGGGGGGTAGGAGAGGGTAAAGGGGGACTAAATGGTGGTGGAAGAAGACTTGACTTGGGGTGGTAAACACACAATATACAATGTACAGATGATGTACTGCAGAATTGTACCCTGGAAACCGATGTCGTTTTATTCACCAATGTCACCCCAATGAAATTAATTTAAAAAATAATGAAAAAGAGCCCTGGCCGGTTTGGCTCAGCGGTTAGAGCGTCTGCCTGCGGTCCGGAGAGACCCGGGTTCGGTTCCCGCTAAGGGCATGTACCTCGGTTGCAGTTTGTCCCCGGCCCTGGTTGGTCGTGCGGGTGGCAGCCACTCGATGTGTCCCTTTCACATCGATGTTTCCCTCTCTCTCTCTCTTCCTCTCTCTCCCTCCCACACTGTCTGTACAAAAAAATGGAAAAATGTCCTCGGATGAGGATTAAAAAAAATAAATAAATAAATAATGAAAAAGAAAGTTGAAGGCTGAGGCCAACGAGTCCGGCGGGAGTTTCTCTGGCTTGGATCTCAAGGATGTCCGTCAAAGGAAACTCCTTTGGTTTTGTAGTTTTCAACGGGAGTGAATGCGATGCAGCAAACACTCCGAGGGCTGTCCCGTGTGGAGTGCTCTGCGGAAGGCCCAGGTGTCCGTGTGGAGTGCTCTGCGGAAGGCCCAGGTGTCCGGCCAGCTCGTGTGCTGGTGAAGTGCAGCGCCTCATTGGCTCCGGGGCTGAGATTCTGCGTCCCTAACCAGCTCTGAGGTGCCCTGCTGCTGGCCAGGATCTAAACTTCGAGAAGCAAATCTACAGCCGGGGGTGGGGGGGGGGGTGGGGGTGGGGGGGTGGGGGGGGTGGTAGGTCAGGGAGCTGGGACCCAGGGAGCTGGGATCTGAGCCCTGCGCCGGCCTGTATGAGCCCTGAGGTCTGGGTAAGGGCCTGGCTTCTCCAACTTGTTTCCTCATCTGTGGACAGGGACGCATCAGATTTCCCTTCTGGGAAGCTGTGGGGACATCTGTTAATCAGCTTAACAATAACCCTCAACCTTCGGAGCAATTTGTGGAGGCATCTGTAGATTGTGGAGCCTGGCAGAAGAGAAGGCTCTCCTGGGAGTTCTTGCACCTCCCAAGGGCTGGAGAGAGACACAGGCTTTCGCTCCCAGTCCCAGAGTCCCGAGTTCTAGAACGTGCATCTGAAATAGCACCCACACCAGCCCTGCACCAGCCCTGGGCCCTCCCTGCTGCGGGAACCGGAAGTGCTAGTCTTTGGCTGCTGGATCCATGTGGAACAGCTCTCCCCCCAGGGAGCGGGGAGGGGGGACTGCCACCGGGCTGCGGAGCCCACTGGGGTAGTTCTGCAAGGCAGGACCGTGAGCGCATGGCTGCAGCCCGGCTTGTCACTGCCTCCCACTGTTCTTTCTCAGCTCCTGTAGATTTTATTAAATAAATGCTTCTGTTTCTTGTAGCCCTTTGATCAATCCCTAGAGACGCTACATGGCTGTCTTTGCTAATTCTAGCCAGCATCAGATGTCTTCTCTGAGGGCACCTGGGTCCCGAGCTCCTCACGCTGCCACCTGGAGGTCCCACCTCTCTTCCCTGCTCTTCACATATACCTGCCTCAGGGCCTCTGCTTTCTGATGGCCACGCTTTCTCCGGACACACACGTGACTCACTTTGCAACTCTTTTGGTGTTTGTTCAAATGCTGCCTTCTTGTGGACAAACAGCCCTTGCCAGCAATCAGCTAAATTAAGGAAAAAAAACCTAACAAAATACAGATTCAATGTAATATTCTTTCTTTTTTTTTTTTTTTTTTTTTTTTATCCTCATTTGAGGACATTTTTCCATTTTTTGTACAGACAGAGTGGGAGGGAGAGAGAGGAAGAGAGAGAGAGGGAAACATCGATGTGAAAGGGACACATCGAGTGGCTGCCACCCGCACGACCAACCAGGGCCGGGGACAAACTGCAACCAAGGTACGTGCCCTTAGCGGGAACCGAACCCGGGTCTCTCCGGACCGCAGGCGGACGCTCTAACCGCTGAGCCAAACCGGCCAGGGCGTAATATTCTTTCTAACACTAACAAAACTAGCAACTGTTTCCCAACTGTCTATATACTTCTTTGTGCTTGAAGTTCAGTAGAAACTTAAAGGAGACTGTGTTTGTCAAGTCTGAGAGCAATCTGTGCAAAACTGTCCAGACCTCCGGGTCGTGGAAGGGTGTCATTTACAGAACAGTGCCGGAGCCCACTGCATCCCTGCCTCCCCCCTGGCTTGCGTTCCCACCTGGAGCTCCTGGCCCCTGCTGACAAGCACACGCTTACCTGTTTGCCCTGCACACCGCGGCTTGTCTGCCGACCAGGACAGCACAGCGGGTGCAGCATTTGCCGAGTAGTAGAGAGGACACTCAGTGTACACAGAGAGAAGCAGCCACTGGCAACCTGTCTTCTCGGGAGGGGGGCTCCTGTCACGTGCAAAGCTGTTCTCAGCGAGTGCCAGGGGCCGGAAAGCTGTGCATCTGGGGCGAGAAGGTGGGATGGCGGCCCCCATGCCTGTGGGAGGGCAGGAGCCAGCTGACCGCCTAAGGCCCAGAGCTGCAGGCGTGGAGGTGGGGAGAAATCCAGTGATGATCACTCTGAAAAATGCTGCTTTGAGTCTGACCTTAGGCTCGTGGAGGGTGATGTAACCTCTGCCCTAAACCCCAACCTTCAGGGGTTTGCTCCCAGATGCCTGCAGTATCTTAGGAGGAAGGCCCTGGTTGAGGCCTTTGCTCATATCTGGGGTGAAACGACAGAGAACAAAAACTAGAGAGAGGAGCCTGGCTGGGTAGCACAGTTGGTTAGAGCATCTTGATGCGCCAAGGTTGTAGGTTTGATCCCCAGGCAGGACATAAACAAGAAGCAGCCAATGAATGCATATTTAAGTGGAAAAACAGATCAATGTTTCTTTCTAAAAACCAATAAATTAAAACAAACAAAAACTAGGCAGAGGAGATGATCAAGCCCAGGGTCCCCGAGGACAGAAGCCCTTGTGGGATTTTGCACTCCCCTTGGGGAGTGTTCCGACGCCCATAGGTGTGGAATGGGAACCTCAGTTGATGCTGGAGCTACACTGAGACTGAAACCTAAATGCCCCTGTGAGAGGGACAGATGGATACAGGCGCATCCAAGTGAGGCAGTGCTGTGTGGTCCCACCGTGGATGCCGGGTCAGGACATACACAGCAGAGGTGGGCCTTACGGGGTCTCAGCAGTTCCACTGCGCTCTCAACTCCTGGCAGGAGGGCCTGCTCCCCTGCCCGGAGGAGACTGGCCCCACAAACCCTGGCTGGCTCCCTGCAGTGAACACACGAGAGGACAGGTGGCTGAACAGTCTATTCTCAAACCCCTACAATGGGCGCCAACACCGCCCACCTCCGCCCCACTGGCACAGTTCCTAGAGGCCCATTTTTTACGCGCAGACAGTCAATATGCAGTACAAGTCTGAGGGCAAAGACAGACTTTTTTTTTTATTGAACTTGGCTTTGACGAGTACTGACAAACCCTGCAGACACTAATATAAAGTGTTCGTAAACAAACAGTCCTTGCCAGCAGTCAGGTAAATCAGAGAGAACATAGAAAAATCAAAAGATGGACACCACTTCAAGTTCTCCAACGTGAACGAACGCTCTGCACCCCCTTGTGCTTTCAGTGCAGCGACTGGAAAGGACACCGCAGCGGACAGTGTGGCCCCCAATCGCAGACGGTTTCACACAAACTGTGAGATCGCCAGCAGTGCTTTAAGTTACTTCCTTTTCCGGACTGCCAAGTCTCCTGGCAATTCTACCTAGGAAGATAGCATGCAGCAAGTAGAAAACTGGTATTCTAAATAGTTTTTTTATGTGTCACGTTCTCGTGTGTATATGTAATGAGAATTTAAAACATTTTCTTTTCTTTTTCCTTTGTAGCCAAAATTCAGGCATTAAAAATAAGCCACAGTAAACCTATTGGCCTTACCCACAAAACAGAGTAAGTCAGGACGGATTGAGAGGACAGATGTTACCGCTGGACCCAAGTCCACAGGCAGGCATCAGCAGGTACATGTACTGGGCACTCTGTGGCGCCTCAGAAGAGACAGGTGACATACAGAAGCCATGAATGTAAGTCCCTGCGCTCGTGAACAGATGTGCCATTCTGGCCCTAGAACGTCTTGCTGAGACATTCTAACATCACTGGATTATATGACTCACTTGACTATAAGACCTATCTTTTTTTTTTTTTTAATGTTTTCTTTGATTTTTTAGAGAGAGGAAGGGAGAGAGACAGAGAGAGAGAAACACCGATGTGAGAGAGAGACACTGATCGGCTGCGCCTGAAACCAGGGCATGAGCCCTGACCAGGAATCAAACTGGGACCTTTCAGTCCATGGGACGACACTCATCCACTGAGCCACACTGGCCGGGCTATAAGATCTATCTTTAAAGCTGAAATAAAAGTTGTTAGAAAAATATGACCAAGGATAATCCTTTTTTAAAAAACAAAGTTAAAAAAGATTTGACTACTCCAATTCATGTTTTCACACATCAGTTTGGTTCTGAATGATTTTAGGTGTGACATCAAACACAGCACACTAAAATCATGCAACTACAATGAAGTGGTCTTGGACCTAAGACTTCTCATGACAAGGAAGAGCTAACAGCAACACAATGTCTGTCGTTTGTTTTCCTGGCCTAACTGTGACAAAACTGTTGAAGGGTGGGCAAAGAACAGTCCCCTCCTTCTCGGACTGGCCTTCGTGGGTAAGCTGGCCCACCTTCAGTTCGCAGATGAAGCTCACCCTGGTTATGTGACGAAGGAAACCAGAGTCAGCTAGATGATGAAACCCCAGAGGGGCCTCCCTTCTCCTGAAGCCACAGCCCTAACCACTGAGGACACGCTAGGGCCGTCAGCTGGGACGGAGCAAAGGGGGCTGGCCCTGGTTTTGGTGAGACACAGGCCCCTGCTTGGGTGGTGGGGCTTCCACTCCGAGGGGGCCCGAGATTCCTGAGCAGAGCTGGCTAGGGAAGCACTGGGCACCTGAGACAAAACTATCTGCACCCCAAGTTACAACTCCTCCTTTAGGTCTGCAATTTGCAAACTCGAGAAAGCCGGGGCCCAGGGGCTTTCCTGCGGCGACCACCTGCCTTCCGGGTCTGCGCCTCATCCTTCACTCAGGTGCAGGGAGACCAGCTTCCCTCAACGAGGGCAACGATCAGGCAACGCTGCTCCAGGTTGCATTTGTTTCTCCAACTAAACTGTGTGCCTTCCACCCTTGGTATTCTTTGTAATTACAAGAGGATTTGATAAAAATCTTTAAATGCATGATTCAGTATTTCAAATGTAAGGCAGCTATTAAACAAATAAACACACACGAGTGACTCTGAAGCTGCTGCCTGCCTCCCAGCGGCGCGCGGCTCTCCAGCACTGCTGCGCCCGCCCCGCCCCTGCAGAACTGAGTTTTCCTGTAAGGTGGGAGCCGCCCTTGGGGACGCCGGGCGTGGAGGTCGCTGGCGCAGACATGATGGACAGACAGCAGCCAGAGCACAACGACCCGGATGGATGGTGTGCGTGGCGCTGGGCCAGGGCCGGAGAGCCAAGGGGGCACTGCTCCCTGGTGAGGACACTTTGGGCTGAGAGGTAGGAACACGGGGAGGACACAGGCCACAGGCTCTGCTCTCCCGCCCCACTCAGAAGTCATGCCCAGCTGGGCACATGTGGAGACACACTGTATTTTGGATTCGGTTATGAGAGCCATCCCAATCAAAAACTGCGAACTACCCAGAGCACGAGAACAAAACCCTACATGCTTTTAAATGGAGGAGGACCCACGCTGCGCACGCACGGACAGCGGACGGAGCCCGGCTCCAGGCTGACACCGTGTCTACAGCACCCAGCAGTGGTGAAGGCCAACCTGCTCTCGGCTCCCACACTAGGAAGTCACTGAAGTGACCCCCAAGTGTGGATTCCTGGTGAGCTCAACGATGTCTGTAGTGAAACTTCAACCAAGACGCCCACAACAGCATCACCGCTCACACTCCGACCCTTGTATTTACAATTTGCAGGAATTTATAAAACAATAAAAAATACCCCACCTTTTAAAAGTTATAATTTATAGAGTATTCTGTACAAAAGCAGTCTTTACAAAGGGCTCCCATCCTAGAAGAAGTCCATAGCCGTCGGCCTTCTCTTTGGTGTGGCGGTCAGCGGCTTCTTGGTCCCTAGGGGGGTGCTGGCTGGGGAGCAGGTGGGGGTCTTCAGCACTCCGTGCAGGGGCCTCTGCTCAGGGTTGAAGGCCACTCGGGAGGGGCCTGTGGGACTGACTAAGATGCTCTTGTCTGTCTTCTTGAATTCTGTCCAATGAAATCGAGGCCACACGTTAATGGGTGTAATTTCTCTGACCTGCCAACCCACCCAGTCCGTGTCCTGCCTCCATGCTGTCCCCCCAGCTCTGCTCCCAACAGTCCCTGAGGAAGCCAGGGCACTCACTCCCGGGCGGCCCTGCAGAGAACTCGCCCTGGGCATTCTGAGGAAATAAGCCACTAGCAGGAATGAATTTACTCTCCGAAGGAAAATGCCGAGACCACCTGGACAGACCACGAGGGGAGCACCAGGCGGGAAGGGGTGCTTCTGGACAGGGACATCAGTGACACTGAGGTTTGATAAAGAGCCGCAGGAGCCCTGCCTCCTGGGGTTTATTCCTTCCACACCGCCTCCCACTCTGCAGACATCACGGGGGGGGGGGGGGGCGCACAGGTCTCTCCAGATAGGAGGTGTGAAACTCATATACTTTTAAGACCATTAGTTTTCTTTTGGAAAAAAAACCAACACAAATGAACCACACCTATGTTAGAAGCTGAAAGGCAAGATGTTCCTCGTTTTCCCTCCTCTTCAGTGGGGCGGTTCTGGATTTAGGTGGAGGTGGCTACAGCTGACAGAGCATTCTATATCCGGCCAAGGTGACCAACGCATTCTGGCAGGTGGGCCACCCACACCAACCTCCTACCAGTTAACCTCCTTCCAGAGACTCCAGAAAACCTGCCCCCACCCCCGCCTCTCCTGGCACCCTGCTGGACTCAGCCAGGGACCGACTCTGCCTCTGGACCGGGCAGGGCCCTCCTTGGGAGTGGATGGCAACGGCAAGCAAACCTCGCACTCACCTGCAGTCATGTTTCTGTTCAACCCAAAAGTGACCTTCTTGGAGCTGGATGGTGTTTTGTTGAGCTGTAGACGAAAGAAAACGGTGACGGGAGTACTAGGAGTGCAAAGGGCTGAGGCCCCATCTGTCTAAGAGTCCCTGCGCACTCAGGTGCTCACCAGCCCACGGGCCTCAACAGGACCACATGGCGCGCGCCCAGGCCGGGCTGCGTGGAGAGCTCTGGCGGGGGCACGTGGCGGATCTGTGAGGTGGGCAGTGCCAGCACCACTCTGCAATAACCTGCCTCACTGCTGACTCCCGCCTCTGCCTCCCGGGAAAGAAAGCAGAGCAAAATTACCACATTTGAAACCTCCTAAGTCAGAAAAAAGTTCAACACTGAAAAACTCTAAGGCACTCCCCATTCATCGCATCCTGGAGTTTAAGGGCTAACTCAGAGACGACGCCGATCGATCATGCCTACAATGGGGTCAGACTTCGGGGGGCGATGGGCCCACACTTCCCAACCTTCTGTGCGCAGGACTCCAGACTGATCTGGAGCACTCTCTCGAATTTCTCCCTAGAACCCCGTGTTTTTGTGTGGATCCCTTACCATATTGTGTAACATGACTATTTTATGAGAGAAGCTTGGCTTCTATAAGCCCAGGGTCATTTACAAATACCCTGAAAGCGTCTTATGTATAACTATTAACACAGGCAGTGGTCGCTCTGCTGGTTCAAGGCTGTTTGAGCAGCACCCACTTCCTTCGCAAACAGCCCGGCTACTGCGGGTCCCCTGGCAGGGCCCGCCCAGGCACCTGTTTCCACAGCTCCGCCAAGGTCTCCACTCCTGGAGGCGACCCCAGACGAGCCTCCCCCATACAGTGCTCTGGACCTTGTCTTGTCTTCTAGTGGTACTTGGCAGAGGTGACCTTTCCTTCACGGGCCCGACCCGGCTTCCCAGAACAGTGCCCACCCTCACCCTCCATGACTGGGGACAGCACTCGCTCCTTCTACTAGCCTGAGCACCCACCAAGTGTCCTCGGCCGGCCTCTCTTCTCCTCCTCCATCTGATTTGCAAATCTGGGGCTCTCTGGGTCCTCCTTCTGCCCCACGTCACTAACAGTTTCTCTAGATCTTCTCTATTCCCATGAGTTCTAAGATGAGGCAGCTCTGATCAATCCCCAGGGTTGGCCCCAGAGCCAACACGGGCCCCTGCAGCCCCAGCACAGCCTGCACAGCAGGCCCGGGCTCCTCAAACAGGAGCCTGTGCCCTGTGGACAGAGGCAGAGGCCAAGCCGCCTGCTGAGCACAGCCCCAGGCCCAGCATGCAAAGCCCCCTCCGGTGTGGTCACAGCGTACTCACCTGCACAGCAGGGGTCACAGGGGTGGCAGCGCTGCTCTTAGCTTTTCTGAAGAACAAGGGCTTTGGTAAGAAGGGGGTGTCAAACTTCACAAAGTCATTCTCAGTCCTCAGCTTCTTCTTCTTCAAAGGGCTGAGAGCTCCACTGCTCCCCTGTGAGGGGGGGGGGGAGAGGTCACGCCGAGCCACCTGGGCCACACCCACACAGGAAGTGGAAGGAGGCTGACTGGGTGCAGGCACCATGGGGGTGAGGGGTGGGGGGAGAGGTCACCCGGAGCCACCTGGGCCACACCCACACAGGAAGTGGAAGGAGGCTGACTGGGTGCAGACACCATGGGGGTGAGGGGTGGGGGGAGAGGTCACCCGGAGCCACCTGGGCCACACCCACACAGGAAGTGGAAGGAGGCTGACTGGGTGCAGGCACCATGGGGGTGAGGGGTGGGGGGAGAGGTCACGCGGAGCCACCTGGGCCACACCCACACAGGAAGTGGAAGGAGGCTGACTGGGTGCAGACACCATGGGGGTGAGGGGTGGGGGGAGAGGTCACACCGAGCCACCTGGGCCACACCCACACAGGAAGTGGAAGGAGGCTGACTGGGTGCAGACACCATGGGGGTGAGGGGTGGGGGGAGAGGTCACACCGAGCCACCTGGGCCACACCCACACAGGAAGTGGAAGGAGGCTGACTGGGTGCAGGCACCATGGGGGTGAGGGGTGGGGGGAGAGGTCACCCGGAGCCACCTGGGCCACACCCACACAGGAAGTGGAAGGAGGCTGACTGGGTGCAGGCACCATGGGGGTGAGGGGTGGGGGGAGAGGTCACCTGGAGCCACCTGGGCCACACCCACACAGGAAGTGGAAGGCTGACTGGGTGCAGACACCATGGGGGTGAGGGGTGGGGGGGAGAGGTCACACCGAGCCACCTGGGCCACACCCACACAGGAAGTGGAAGGAGGCTGACTGGGTGCAGACACCATGGGGGTGAGGGGTGGGGGGAGAGGTCACCCGGAGCCACCTGGGCCACACCCACACAGGAAGTGGAAGGAGGCTGACTGGGTGCAGGCACCATGGGGGTGAGGGGTGGGGGAGAGGTCACCCGGAGCCACCTGGGCCACACCCACACAGGAAGTGGAAGGAGGCTGACTGGGTGCAGGCACCATGGGGGTGAGGGGTGGGAGGCCACAGGTCAGAGAGAAAGACCCATTTATCAGCTCAGACACCCCACACTCTGCACTTCTGGGAACTATGTTTACAAACACCTTTTCTTGCTCAGCAGAGCACAAACTTCATGAACAAAACTGCCACTTCTCCACCATGGTAGTGCCAGAGGTTTTCTATCTTTTCAGTCACAAGAACCGAACCATATTTATTTGTCTTCAAATTCAGGTTCCATGTTTTGAAAATTTCTGCCCTTCTTTTTTAAATCTTCACCCGAGGATATTTTTCCCTGGGCCCACGCTCTAACTGCTGAGCCAAATTGGTCAGGGAAGATTTCTGCCTTTCAAACACCACCTACAGTCATGTGCAACCTAAAGACGGGAATATGTTCTGAGAAATGTGTTATCAGGCGATTCTGTCATTATGCAAACATCACAGGCACTGGGCGCATCTAAACAATATAGCCCACTGCACACCTAGGCTCTGCGGTACCCTCTGCTCCCGGGCTGCACGCCTGTGTGGCATGGTGCTGCACCAAATGCCGGGACCCATGTAACACGATGGTGAGCGTTTATGTAAACACAGAAAAGGTACAGCATAACTGACACCGGGCCCTGTCCGGAAATGGAGCTCACTGGCCTGGAAGGTGCTCTGGGTGTTAGTGGTGAGTGATGTGGACATCACTGCACACAACTGTAGACTTTGTAACACAGTACACTTAGACAACACTACATTTATAAAACATATTTTTCTTTCTTTGATAAATTAACCTTAGCTTAGCTTACTGTAGGCCCGTTTAAGGCACATAAAAAATGGCAGCTGGGTGCTTTACAACTGACCACCACCCTGTACTAGTTCTGGGACCCAGGGGTCTGGGATACCCAATGTGGTCAATGTCACACTGATGGTTTTGGCCAGTGCTTGGTGACCCTGGCTTGGAAGTTGGCTGGCTTCTCTGAGCACCGGTGAGGGAGGGGCAGACCCAGGAGTCCTCTCTCCTGCGCCTTTCCACCCTGCTGGCAGAGATGGAGACACACATTGCCCCTTTTCGGAGGAAAGACCTCCAATGACCCTGTGGTTTCTTTAGCAACCATCCCAAGCCTCTCTAAGGGAGGTGCAGGAGCCTGAGAATGAGATGCGAAGAAGGCATCTTCTCTGAGATTCTCAGCGGAGAATGAGTGTCACACGGACAGTGAGTGGAGGGCGAAGGCTGCAGAGCCACGGGAAGGTGATGCAGGTGACACAGCTCGCCAGGGGAAGGCCTGGGTTAGGGCAGACCGCCGATGTCTAGGCGAGTGTTCCGGTCTCCCCAGCTAGGGCTTTTTACTGAGCAGAAAAGAGCTCCCCTGGCGCTTGCGCTGATACAAAGGCCCTGCCGCCGCCGCTGCACACACAGTGGGCACAAACACAAGCACTGGACAGTCAGCAAGTCTGTTTGTCAAAGGCAGGGAGTAAATGTTTCTGGCTTTCAGGACCCTAAGGTGCCGGTCACAACTACTCTTCTCTGCCACTGGAGTGCAAGCGGCCACAGAAGTGTGCACAGGATTGGGCGGGGCTGTGCCAATGGAACCGTTTGCCGACCACGGGTACAGATGTGCCGTGTGTACAGAATGAGGGGTTGAAAGTAGACTCAGAGCCTGGCTCTCATTCACACCTACTTTAGAGATCCAAGCGGAAAGTCTTTTCATTAAAAAGACAAGCAAAACAGAGAATCTCGGGCCCATGATTAGCCATGAGTTGAAGAGAAACATTTGCTGTGTGCACTCGTCTGCCTGTTTATACCAGAGCAGGGTGCCCGCCTAGGCACAGGACAATGCTCCCGGCCTGATGTGGCCCTTCTGCAGCCCCCCAGAGGAAGCAGCATGGTGGGGGTAGGGAAGGGGCTGGAGTGAGGAGGGGAGAAGGCCGCCGCCGCCGACGTCTCGGCTACCAAAACTGGTCATGATTTTTACTGTTGGAAAAGGGTGTTATGAACCATGACAGCTTCTTAGTCCAGAGGTCTGACCTGTACCCCAACCCCCCTGAAGACCAAGGAGGCAGGGCCCGATCTTTCAACATGGAAGCCTTGACCACCCTGCCTGGAGCCCAGCTGCCTTACCAGAGCCTGGACGAGCTTGAGTTCGGATTCCAATACTCTGCTGTGCTCAACCAAGTTCAACATCTCTTTCATTTTCTTCCTCTTTTTGAAGATGGCAGTTTTCTGAGTGGATGGGTTGTAGAGGTCAAGACGGCTGGGCTCCCCCTTCTTTTTCTTCAGTCTCCCACCCTGAGGCAGTGTGGCTGGGCTGTCCCCTCCATCCGCTGGGCTCGCTGCAGGGCTGTCCTCCCGGACTGGGGGCCAGGTCAGCATGGGCGGGCTGCCGTTGACCAGGGGAACCCTGAGTTTCCGCTTCCTCTTCAGGGATGGGACTCCGCTGGCTGGGGAAACTTGGGAGACAGGCACCAGAGCGTAATCACTGCCGGGGCCACCTTGACACAAGTCCTCCAGAGATGACACCACTGACTCCGAGATCAGTCCCTGGAACCGGGGGCTCCTCTTTCTTGGTCGTTTCCTCCTGCTGTGTGTGGGAGGGTTTGAGGGGGGGCGCTCTGAGCCACTCTGCCCCTGGGGGCTGGGTGAGAACTCTGCCCCGAGCTCAACCACACCCAGCTTCTGGACTCTTCCTGGACCTGCCTCTGGCTCACTGCCCCCATTCTGTTCTGGGGGCATGGCTTTGACCCCTGACCCTAAATGCTCAGGCTGAAGATAGTTCCTCTTCTTTTTCCTTTTCCTCTTGTGAACACCACCTTTACTTTCCTCTTCCTCAGCAGGAAAGAACTTGTTTCCTAGAAAGACACACAAACCAATGAACAGGTGCCCCGAGGCCAAGAGGACAGGTCTCACGGGGACTGCGGGGCAGCGAGCGGCTGACGCTCCTCTGGGACCTGACTGCGGAAAGGCTCTGATCCCAGGTGCACTTGCGCTCCCTCAGTTCTGCCCCTCGGTCCCATTTCCTCCCTCTCCCAGCTGTGATGAGAAACCTTGCTAATGGCTCTTTCAATTCAATGGAGCTGAAATACATTCAGATTTCTACTCGTTTCCAGGCCACAGGTAAAAGCCACAGGTCCGAGGCAGGACTAGACAAACGCTCCACAGGGCAGTGGGTACCCAGCATCTCCACATCCTCACACGTCACCAGGAGTGCACACGTGCTTTTCATTTAGGAAACATGGGTTCCCCAGATAAATCGAACACTCAGAAACAATCTTTACTTTTCAGCCATAGAAGCAAAAGCTTTTTTCTGTAACAATTTATAAAGACAGTGGCTCAGAGGTTCCCAGGACTGCAAAGGCACACACACCCGAGGGCTGCCCCTCCCTCTCAGGCCTCGCTGGTCCCGAGCCTGATGCCTCACCTTTCCCTTTGTCCACGTCGATTTTCTCTAAAAGATTATTTCCTTTTTTCTTATGCCTTCCTTGACTGACAGCTTGGTTATCTTCATCAGCAGAAATGTCCTCAGCAAAACCAGCTTGAGATATACTACCTGCGGGACACCAAAGCCACATTCAGTCCGCGTTCTGACACCCTCGCAGGGGCCTAGGAGCCATTCCCCCTCCCATCAAGGTTTTTCTAAATCCACACCTAAGAATAATTTTCTGTTTATCATCAGACAGAGTGAGAGGGAGAGAGAGACAAACATTGACGTGAGAGAGACACATCAACTGGTTGCCTCCCACACGACCCGACCAAAGCTGGAATGAACCTCAACTGAGGTACGTACCCTGGACCGGAATCGAACCCATAACTCATTGGTCTGTGGGATGACGCTCTAACTGCTGAGCCAAACTGGCCAGGGCTCCCAACGTGATTTTTAACCTCAATTTTTTTTTTTTTATTTATCCTCACCCGAGGATATTTTTCCATTTTTTGTACAGATAGAGTGGGGAGGGAGAGAGAGAGAGAAACATCAACGTGAAGGGACACATCGAGTGGCTGCCACCCGCACGACCAACCAGGGCCGGGGACAAACTGCAACCGAAGTACGTGCCCTTAGCGGGAACCAAACCTGGGTCTCTCCGGACCGCAGGCCGACGCTCTAACCGCTGAGCCAAACCAGCCAGGGCTTAACCTCAATTTTTGCCTCCTCATCCCCTCACCACTTCTCTACCCAGACCTGGAAGCCGCCGGCACAGGAACTTCAGACCTGAGACAACGCGCGGCTTCCTCACCCAGGGCAAGGGACTATAAACCTTGGTGACATCATCTCCAGACCATGCCAGCCAGGTCTGAACCCTGGTTCTAAGCACCCCAGAGGCCCATGGGGCAGGAGCACCGGGCCATCGATTTGCTCAAATGTAGCCAAGTTTACAGACAGCGGCTTTCCCCTAGGGAACAACTGTTCTTCATAAGGGCCAAACTGAAACCTAAGTGGACTGACAAAAACCCCACCCCCAGGAGTCTCGAGTATGGCTCAGCTTGGTCCCTGGAACGGGAGAGTGGGTGGGTGAGATGAAAAAAAAAGGCCCCACACTGTGGTTCTTCTAAGAGCTGCTTTCGGTTGAGCAGCATGTAGTGTAACTGACGAACTTTCAAAGGTACAGGCTACTACTATTTCTTATGTTTCTAATCTTGCTTTTTTCTGAATGTGCCTGAATGTACTCAGTGAGTTCCATATTTAGGTTAAGAACATCAGTTCGAATCCTTTGACTTCCTCACCTTCAGAGAGCTCTTGGAATCTGAAAAAAACAAACAAACAGAAGTTCATGAAGAAATCCTTTCTTTCTGTCGTCTGTAAACATATGCACGAGACTTAAAAACATGTGATACTTCTCATATACTTTCTTTTTCCTCTAGAAGGGGAGGCTGAAGAGGTGGTGTGCCACAAAGGCCAAAAATGAAGGACAAGCTCACCCTCAGTTATCCTTCTGTTTCTTAGTGTCTTAGGGCTGAAACCACTTACATTTTCTGCCTCGACTCAGCTCTCTTGTTTACCAAGTGGAGAAATGCCAAGTGGTGTTTGGTCTACAAAATTTTGGTGCATTAAACACAAAGGAAGTGGGCAGGGCTGTGTGGACTCAGGGCCAGAGCCCTGGGGAGTGGACAGGAGGTCTGAACCCTGCTCTGTGTCTGGCGACTACGACCCTTGGGCAAGGCAGTGACTTCCCTGTAGCTGAGTTAACCATGTGGCAGATGAGGAAATTATAGAAGCCAGTTTATGGGGCTTTACTTAACATGAAATAATTTAAGTGCTCAGAATAGTGCCTGCTCACATGGAGTGTGATCAAACTCAGCTGCTGTATGTCATCAACCATAACATGCCACAGGGCTCTGCAGTGAATTATTGGCACAGTCATAACGACATCAACAAGGACTAGAGCATAACCATATTGGAAAAAAGCTACACCCCTACCCAGCTCAACAGCGCACTACCAGGCAACACCTCAGCAGTCCGTTCACATTGCAGTTTCTCAATCTACTACTTTTAGACATTTTCAACAGACTTCTTTTCACATGATTATGAAACAACTAAAAGAAATGATCATGGCTGCATCTGCAGAATGGAACCAGGGGAGGGGGCAGTCATCATCAAACACTGCAATTTGTATGTGTATATACATGTTATAAATAAAAAATGCAAGCGTGGTGACAGCTCGTCCTGTATCATGAGATAAATGAAAGGGCTGGACTTGAACACAAATGAGAATCAAGTGACACCTTCTCATCCAATCACTTACTTCTTGATTAGTTTGGAGAGACGTTTCCTGTTGAAGGGAGGGATGTTTTTCCTGTTGGTTATTTCCAGGAGTCGGTCAGCAACAGCCTTATAGTCAAACTACGTGAGAAGAAAAACTAACATAAACCCACAGTAACTCGACTTGGAAATGCCCCCCCGCTAGTGACAATACAGGTGGCACAGGACTCAGGAGGCACCAAGAAGACCGTCTGAACATGCACGGGCTAAGACTTGGCAACCAAAGGCTTAAGCAAGATCTTTGAAAAATTTGCTCTATTTCTTCTTGGAAGACGTTAGCTGTAATTCTTCCTTTTCTAAAAAAAAAAAAAAAACTATGGTAAAACACACCATATAAAATTTACTCAGGTGTGCTTCTTTGTAAATTTAATCTGGATGCCTAATTCGTACTTGGTAACACAGTAAACTTTATCTGACAAGTACCACTGAGCTGACTTTGCTGCATCGAATAGAACAGATCTCAGCAATTCAAGCCGAAATGAGGACTAATGTCTTTTAAAATTCCGTCACATTTAAACTTGTCTCCAATAAGCTCATTATAAGGAAGGTGACATCAGTGACTAAAGGGATGAAAAGGACTTGACACATTAGGCCTTACAGTTTAATTAGCTCTGACCCTAATTACCAATTAGCCAGGCCACTCCACAGTAAATCTATCTTCTATAAAAAGCAACAACTGCCACCAACCTGGAGAAGTGGCCCAGTGTCCTCCACGCTTCCGCCACCGTCTCTCTCACCTTCATCACTGATTCCATCTTTTCTGGAGTGGTATTTGCCTTGTGCTATCAAAACACACCCAAAGACAAAATTTGTCAATGACATAGCAATGACTATTTCTGAAGGAGCCACTGTCTAATTAGGTGTCTCTTAGGGAAAAGAAAGTTTCTTTAAAGAGAAAAACCCTGCAAATACACTTATAGTTTGCCAAGGATGTTTTGGTTTTTCAGTTGCTGGACATGAAAAAACATCTGGGAGCAATCACAAACTCTGTCTAATCTACTACAGACAAACAAGCCTCCACGGCCAGCAGTGCCGTCCAGCCCCGTGGTCTCCCCGTCAGACAGTGGCAGGGGACGGGAAGCTGCTGGGCAGGGGCTCAGGCACAGCTTGGCTCTGGCCTAGGAAGAAGAGGGTGGACTTAGGAGCCGTGTCCCTAATTTCACATAGGTTTGGGCTGTAGTAAAAATCTGTATAGTGGTGGTATACTAACTTCACTGCGCTGTCTCAGGAAACAGATTGATATATCAATGCACATTTAAACATTTAATAAATAATTCAAAAAGCATTGAAGTTCATAAAAAAGCAGATGAAAATTACTAATAAAAACTCAACTTTTCACACTTGTGCTGTTTTTGGATTCCTAGGAGCTCATTCGTGGTGTGGCCTCAGGACGCAGCCAGAGGGGACAGAGTAGTCCACACAGCGCAGGTGCTCACGAAGAGTGAGACCCCTCTGTTCAGACAGACACGGCAGGCAGCGGGGAACCAGAGGCAATGGCCACGACCACACGGATTCTGCTCAGGGTTTTTAGTTAACCTATCATCTATGTGGAATTTAAAATTAAAATATTTGCCCTGGCCGGTTTGACTCAGCAGCTGGGGCGTCGGCCTGCGGTCCAGAGACCTGGGTTCGGTTCCCGTAAGGGCATGTACCTCGGTTGCAGTTTGTGCCTGGCCCTGGTTGGTCGTGCGGGTGGCAGCCACTCGATGTGTCCCTTTCACGTTGATGTTTCTCTCTCTCTCTCTCTCTCCCTCCCACTCTACCTGAACAAAAAATGGAAAAATGTCCTCGGGTGAGGATAAAAAAAATATAAATTAAAATATTTATTCTTTTTAAAAAATATATTTTTATTGATTTTACAAAGAGAGATAGGGAAAGGGAGAAAAACACTGATGCAAGAAAAAACATTGACGGCTGCTTCTTGCACACCCTGTACTAGGAAACAAGCCCGCAACCCAGGCACATGCCCTGACCAGGAATCGAACCGGCGACCTCTTGGTGCACAGGATGACACTCAACCAACTGAGCCACACCATAAAATCTTTCAACCTTTCTTTTTCTATTTAAAAAATAACATATACCCTGGTTGGTGTTGGTGTTTCTCAGTGGTTAGAATGCCAGCCCATGCACCAAAGGATCACAGGTTCAATTCTCAATCAAGGGAGAGTACCTGGGTTGCAGGTTCGATCCTGGGCACATGTGGGAGGCAACCAATGTGTCTCTCATGTCCATCTCTCCCACCACCCCTCCACTCTTTCTAAAATAAAATCAACGGAAAAAATATCCTCAGGTGAGTATTAACAAAAAACAAACAAACAAAAAAAGATCAATGTAGAAACTTAGAAAAATAGACAAAAGTACAAAGCAAACAGAAGTCACTCACAACTCATATACCACATTTTGATATATATTCTCTCAGATTATTTAAGGCACATGTAAGTGTTAAAACAAATCAGGCTCCTTCCACATAGTTTTGTGTCCTGCTTTCAAAAACGAGTAAGTTTCCTCTGGTCACTGAATTTTGAAAACTCTCTTTTTCAATGGCCTCGTAACATTTCAAAAGTGCGGGTCTGCCCTGACCACTTATGCAGGGAGATGTGGGAACCACTGTGAGTTCTGATGGGCCACAACTTGAATGCACATTCGGTACATGATTGCATGGACATAAAACAGGGGTAAGACCCTGGCCAGTTTGGCTCAGTCTTTAAAGCGTAGGCCCACAGACCAATGAGTCACAGGTTCAATGCTGGCCAAGGGCACGTACCTCAGTTGCGATTTGTCCCGGGCCCTGGTTGGTGTCATGCGGGAGGCAACCAGTCGATGTGTCCCTCACATGTCAATGTTTCTCTCTCTCTCCCTCTCCTACTCTATCCAAAGATAAACAGAAAAATATCCTTGGGTGAGGATTTAAAAAAACAAACAACAAAAAACAGTGGTAAGAATGGTGCCAGTCCACAGTGGGCATTCAAACACCCCAAGAAAAAGAACCCCGAAGGAACTGAGAGATCAGAAAGGCGACAGAACAAAATGACTGCACATTAGGTGTCCCGCCGAGGACCCTCTACAGATCCCAGTCTACATTAGGATGCTTAAATACAACAAAAAAAGCCAAAACAACAAAAACAAACAAAATCCAAAGCAACAGCAACAGTGATAAAACCCTAGGAGAAGGTCCGGCCATCCTGGGAGATGCAGACTTGTGCGAGGCACAGAGCCTTCCCCACAGGAGCCTGGGACAGGCCTAGGGGTCTGAAATAGGCATCTGTCTCCTTTCTCAGGCAGTGTCCGAGGCAAAGCATCTTTGATAAATGCTACGTTGTAGTCAGTGAGATCAAAACAAATGTATTAAAAGTTTGTCTGATGAGGACTTTACCTAAAAAGAGAAAGACTAGTCAAGGAAATTCTCTTACCTGTCTTTTTACTGTAGGTTTTTCTCCACAGCAACTCGTTTTCAGCTGTCTCTTCTTCAGAGAGGTCACTGTCACCCACTTTAGTCCTCTGTTCCTCCACGGTCTCTTCAGGCACAAGAGGAGACTGGTCTACAATGACTTCGAACACACCCCTAGCTATAGTCTGCACCAATGTATGGCTGGGGGGAAGCACAGCGAAGAGGATGTGATTAGCACCATTGGTCTGGACCTCGTTATCTAAGGAGGACAGAGGGATGAGAAGCAGGAGTCACTGCACCTCCAATTTCAGCCCGCCCAGGACCTGGTGTGACTGACCAGCCGCTCAGCAAGCACTTGTGTTCCCGACCACACCCCTGTGCTAGTCAACAGAGGTGCTACTAGGAGCCAGCCCAGGGCTGTACCGGAAGCCATGGGACCGGCAGCAGGCTGAACTCTGGGTGGGGGAGGGTGTGATTTGGAATGACTGGGGTCAAACAGCAAAGCCAGAAGAGCTGAATTATGACTCCAAGCTTCAAACGTCTTGCTAATGGGAATTAAGCATTTGGTTGTTCTTGGCTTTGGACAACCATCCCAGGTACCTTCTGTCAAGCTACGTTCCATCAACATAAACCAACAACCCACCTCTCCAAACTAAGCATCAATTAAAGCAATAGAAACAAACATGTGAATCACTTACTCCTTGGTCTTGGCAGCAATCTTGCAGAACGGATCAATAAACTTGAGATTCTGATCTGCCAAAAGCTGTAAATGTAGAAATAAAATAGTAAAAAGGAAATTAAAAACCATGGAAAAAAGAGCCTTTTCTCTTTTCTGACATGTCCTTAAAAATGGGACCCCCCTTTCCATGTAGGGTGAATCAGACTGAGTGACGTTTAGCTCACAATGCCCACATGCACTGTGCATCAATTACCCAGAGGCCCAGAGCCAGGCTAAAGGCCACCGCTGTCCTCCAGCCACTCGAGCATCTCAGCAGTGACCAAAGGACACTGCCCAGTTCAAGCATGGCTCCATACTTACTCCTCTATGGAGCAGTTCTGTATGGACACTGCCAGAGTCTGAGATGAGAGATTATTTCTTTAATACAATATTTATACTTTCTTTAGTTAAGAAAATACCTGTCCACTACAGAACACTTGGGAAAGAAAAAAAAGTAAAACTTGCTCACAATCTCAATCACTTGCGTGCTAAAGAATGTTTCCTTTCCAGGCTTTGTCTATTCACATTTGAATGTACACTCAAACCCGTCAGACCATTTGCACAGCCTGTCTACTGCCTTTCTTTCCTACTGCGTTTTAAAAACTCAGTATCCTGAGCATTTCCTCATGTCACCGAATTCTTTACAGGACCGTGTAGGTCAGCAGTTCTCAACCTGTGGGTTGTGATCCCTTTGGGTTGAACGACCCTTTCACAGGGGTTGCCTAAGGCCATCTGAAAACACATATTTCCAATGATGATTCATAACAGTAGCAAAATTACAGTTATGAAGTAGCAACAAAAGTAATTTTATGGTTGGGGCCACCACAACATGAGGACCTGTATTCAAGGGTTGCGGCATGAGGAACATTGAGAACCACTGGTGTAGGTGCTTTCAACTGTTTTCTACGTCAGACTCCATGTACATCCTTTGTGCATGAATTGTGCCCACATGGCTCATTAGCTGCTCAGGACACATTCTTAGACGGGGAAGGAATGTGTCAAAAGACAGGTTGAACTAATTCATGCTCTGTCGTCACTGGTAACAGAGTGCCACCAAGAGCAACCCATTCCCAGCTCACAGGAGCATCTGAAGAAGAGCCTGTTCAGGTTAGCTGTGGTCTCATCACACTGTTGACTTTTTCTTACCTCTTTCCCTCCCACTTTGGATAGTTCATCCAGATAGATATCAATGAAATGGAATTTCACTCCATTAGGAGACTGACTCTCAGGGTGCAAGACTTCCTTCATCAAGACATCGAGAAAAAGCTTGATTCGGCTAAAGAAAACAACACGTACGGGTCTGTTAACTACAGTGTGCCAACAGTGCCCCCCAGACAAGACATAACATTCAGCCTCATGCTCCACTACACCACAAGCCACGTGAGGCTGAGAAAGTTCTATAAGAAAAAAAGTAACTGCTGAAATTAGTATAAAAAGCCAATTGTTGTCCGGCCGGTGTGGCTCGGTGGTTGAGCATCGACCCATGAGGTCACCGGTTCGATTCCTGGTCAGGACACGTGCCCAGGTTGTGGGCCCGATTCCCACTGTGGGGCAAGCAGGATGTTCTCTCTCATCGATGTTTCTAGCTCTCTCTCCCTCTCATTTCCTCTCTCTGTAAAATAAGCTGACTGCCATGTGTACTCAACTCTTATATTCCTCTGCTGCATTTTAAGTTCTTTTTTTCTTTATCCTCACCTGAGGACACTTTTGCATTTATCTTCAGACAGAGAAGGGGTTTTGTCTCTCAGCACTTAACAGAGTAGAAGACACAGATCAGGCAATTCATACTTGCTGATTAATTAAAAGGCTTGAAAAACACACTACTACCTTAAAAGCGCTCAGGCCACCAAATGCTAACCCAAATAGTTTACAAACCTTTCTTCCCAGCCATTCCGCTTCAGAACTTCAAAGGACTCCCTCAGGACCAGACGGATCAGCTAAAGACAGACAACTTGTGTTACAAAAGGAAAGTAAGAACGATTGATCAGCTTAGTAAAATGAGGCCAATGACATGGTACATGTTGCGTGGATCCCCAAATGAAAAATTATCCACAATAATCATGTTTAACTTCTAGATCATCAAATGTTAACTGAAGATCCCCAAACTTGGCCCTAACAGCTGAAAGACACAGAGAGGCCTCCTAGTGCAGGTTCAAAGGCCATCTAATGTTCATATCGCCCACCATCTCAGCAAGCCTAGAACTTTGTTTGCTTCACAATCAAATCTTCCCACTGTGTTTAAGACGCTGAACGGGTTCTCCCTCACGTGAGCCTCTGCAGCAACTGGAATGGAAGCTTGCTGGTCTCACCATGTAGTACTTGTCCAGGCGCAGCCTGTCGATCCCCTTCCACTCTCGGTTCATGGTTTTCCAAAAGGTCTGAATGAATAGGTGCTCTGCAGTGAACAAAAGGCTCTGAATGCTTGGTTTTCGGGTTAACACATTATCGTAAAGCACAGAAGTAATGAAGAAACATACTAAGACTATTCATTATTTACTTTTCTCAAGAATTCTTGGGTTGCTAGAAAAATTGGTCAATGACTAAATATGCTCAATAATTTCTTTTACATTAAAAAACTTTTTTTCTTTATTGATTTTAGAGAGGAAGGGAGAGGTATTTAAGTAAAAGGACATTATAGTAACAGGAAGGCTGGTAATATCTTAATGCCTAACTAGAACTCTCTCTGGAGCATTTTTTAAAAATCCACTGAAACCCGTGTTTCTAAATCAAAAGATTTTCTGAGCCATGTCTACTGTCCTTTCCACCCACCTATACCTAATAATCCAAAGCCAGTAATTGGATGGAGACTTGGATGACCCATGTAGAAAGTCAGCTTTTTGTTCCATGTCAGCTTGATATGTTATAATAAAACATTCTATTTTTCTCTTCTGAGCCATGAAACTAGCACTTTTTTGTCCAAAATTTTTTTGATTTTTTTTTTTTTTTTTGCTTCACTTCTTTTTGCACAAATCTTTCTTGATACCTAAAAACCTTAACTATATTTCATTGGCAGATTTTGTTCATACATGTCGGCTGGGACTCTGCTGAAGTTCGGAGAACCACTGAGGGCTATGAAGGTCATGGCGATGGTTTTCTCTCAGGAATGGTGAGCAGAACAAACTCATTCTGCTGTCTCTTTCGTCTTCTGTAAGTAATCAAAACCTGAATGTCCCAAAAATAATGTCTCCCTTTGTTCTTTTTTTTTGGTGAAAGGGGAGTTACTTTACTTTATTACCAGTGACCACCTCAGATGACTCTAATTTTGATGAAAAACCTGGCATCCAGAGGTTACTGCACACACTGGCATACGCACAGACAGCTTCTAGTAGTGTTAAAGTAACTCAGAATTTGGAGATTCTGGAGGATTATTACTGTTATTTTTGAAAGGATGTATAAATAAAATATGCATTCAAAATCTAAACACAGTAATGAAGTTTACAGCTGAAAATTTAATCCAGCCCTTTAGAAATATTAAATGTGCCTTTCCTGATTGTGCATTTTTCTCACAGCAGCTGGGTAAACATTTTATTTATTTAATTTTTATTGTTGAGTATTACAGATGTCCCCTCATCCCCGCCCCCACCTGCCTCCTGCTTTCCCCAACCTAACGTCTGTGTCCATTGGTTGTGCATATGAAGGATTATTAAAGTATTTTTTACAAATCTTTGAGATGTCCAGTATGATATTCTACAAGACACCTTCACCCTCTTTCAGAGTCAATATCTAAGTTTATCATGTTGCTCCCCATGGAAACAGTTGGTGGCCTGACGCCTATTCACTGGCAGCCCCAGTCCCACATTCAATTAGACCACTGGGAAATGGAAACTTAGAAGGAAGGAGAAGAAACAATATGGACTAGATATCAGGCAAGGTACCAAATCTGAAAAATAAGAAAGGTTTGAAAGTCATGAAAACATTAGGACTTACGAGCGTCTGAGTTGTTAACGGCATGGATGAGCTGGGAAATCGTGTTCGCTAGCTCCTCCTGCAAAGGTGGGGTTGGGGAAAACATTGGGTTATTATGTGGCAACACTGAGATGACAGCACCAGGACCAGCACCTCCTTCCGTACCTGCCGGAGAGGGAATCTGTACCTCTGTTTTCATTGTCACTTCCACTAGGAAGTGTGTATGTGGATATTTGAATTTTATCAAATGTGAAATCCCCAGTTTCAATGAACTATTGTGCCAACTTCATACGCCTCTCAGATTTGTTTAAGCTCTGTTTAAAAAAGTATCTCTAGTTATCTATTTAAATGACCTACAAAAGAAATAAATTAGCTGTCAATTCCTGGCTTTAAAAAGATATTAAAACTTAAATTGAGATGTTTATCCTAATCCCCCCAAATAATGGAAACACAGACACCTCAGCAGGGGAGGTCGCTGTGTAACACCCCAGGACACTCAGCTCAGTGAGTGGAACCAGAAAGCCCCCTCCTTGGCTGGCTCAGAGACAGAATGCAGCGGCAGGTGGTGGGAAGCACAGGGAACAGCACCCTCCTAGGCTCTGTCCTGGGCAAAAGTCCTACTCAGAGGACTTTTCTGTTTGTAAAGAGAATTTGGTGGTCTGGATCTATGGGGACGCTTGCCTTGGGGAGTGTCAACAAAGGAATTCTGTTTATGGAAGAAAAAACAGATTTTGTGAGTATTATCTGTACCTCCCCCAGCCTCAGGTCTCCCTCGCCCATTTCGAATGAACTCCCCAACTTGAAAGTGATGTTCTTGCCACATTTTCTTCCTCCACTAAAGCTGCTGGCTATTCCTTTTGAATGTAATTCAAAAATATTTTGCCTTGCTATCCTACTCAAAATATGTTCAGGGGAGTAAAAGCTATAATCAGAGCGAGTTACTTACTAATGGCTTGGGCGAAGTGGCAAAGTTGTGCCTTAAAATCTAGACAAGTAAAATCTACCCGTGATGTTTTATACATTAGAGGATTTCACATGGATTTCAAGGCTTATCCTTCACTTCGCTTTTACACATCAGAATAAAGCTCTTTGAATAGTGAAAATCATTTTTCTATATAGTTGTGGTGGCGGTGCCCAGTGTGCTCAGCAGACGGGTCCGGATGCCCATGCACATCTGTGCCAAGTCCTCGCTGACTTTAAGGGTGGGCCATCAGATCGGGGATGACAATGGCCTACAAAGACCCTGACCTCAAGTGAGGTGGCTGCCCAGTCCCGGGCACCCACTTAAAAGGGGGCAGAGGTTGGCCTGGAGCCAGGGCTGCTCACAGGTTCCTGGACTAGTGTCATGATATTTCTGACCACAAATAAGAGAAAACAACAACAACGAAAAAACTTAAACCTAACATGCAACCATGGCAGAGAAGTAATAAATCTTTAATTTATGTGTATTCTTTATTATTTGAAAAAATAATTAACCTCAACGCTTAGACATTGCATCCCCTTCTATTTGACAAGAGGTGAAAGGGAATCCTTGAAGCAATGCTTTTCAGTTTGTTTGGCACATCAGGGCAAATCCCTCTTCCGGACCTCTGCCAAAGACCCAGTACTATGACAAGGGAAGTGTATGTTACCTGAAGAAGGGGTTCGTCCTGCACCCACATGCAATAGAAGAGCCCCTTCCATATTTTTAGGAGTTCTTCTTGACTGAAACCTCCTAGAGGGCAAAACAACACAAAAATCTTATTTCAGAGTCCTCACATTTCCTTTCTTAAAGTTCAGAACAGCCACATAAGCAGTGAGAATACCACCACATACATTTTCACCTGCCAAGGTTTTTTTTTTTATCCTCACCCAGGACATTTTTGCATTTATCTTCAGATAGAGCGGGAGGGAGAGAGGGAGGAAGAGAGAGAGAGAGAAACATCGACGTGAGAGAGACAAATCGAGTGGTTGTCACCCACACAACCCCAACCAGGACCGGGGAAAAACTGCAACCAAGGTACGTGTCCCCAGCGGGAACCAAACCTGGGCTTCTCTGGTCCATGGGCTGATGCTCTAACCGCTAAGCCAAACTGGCCAGGGCTGCAAAGGACTTTTTTATTTGAAGCACACATTCCTCATTGTTACTAAACAAACACATGTAAATTACAGTTTTTATCAGCTATGGGGCAGGGTGGTAGTGATGGTGTGTCCACGTTACTCGAGCAATGTAAGGAAGTAAATAGCATCACAACCAAAAATTAACTAATGGAGTGCTCATTTATAAAATGAGTTCCCCTAAATGCTCCTCTCTGCTTAAACTAGCATCTCACCCTGCACACTAACATTTTCATTGGTCTTGCAAAGTGAAAATGCAAATCCTACAAAAAATGCAGGATTTGCTCAAGTCCCATACAACTGGCCCCAGAGAAACTGGCAAAGCTTTGGGATGTTTTTGCTAAGATGACCTTTTAAGGACTGTGCTATGAAGTCACACTTGGCTGTACCCTGATCTTTCCTCACTCCCGGTTAGTTTTCATTTACTGGGCAAATTTAGTCTTGTTTTAAGAGGCATCTTGGCTAGCCTTGTTCTCATTATTTAAGCCTTGTACCTCTGCCTGTACCACCTACGACCAAGCCACAAGACCTGCACAGTCTTCTATCTGCTGGGTCCACCCCAGGTGTCATGAAATAATAGCTGAGCGACATCAAGAATTATAAAATCAGGAAAATGTACACTCTTGCAGTTTCCAAACCTGTGGAGAATAAACCAAACCACTGAGGCACACTGACTGGGCAAGATATTTATTTATTTATTTTTATCCTCACCCAAGGACATTTTTGCATTTATCTTCAGATAGAGCAGGAGGGAAAGAGGGAGAAAGAGAGTGAGAGAGAAACATCAATGTGAGAGACACACAGCAACTGGTCACCACTCACAACCCCCACTGGGGCCAAGGACAGACTGCAACCGAGGTACATGCCCTTAGTGCGAACCGAACCCGTAGGCTGATGCTCTAACTGCTGAGCCAAACCAGCCAGGGCTTTATCTTTATCTTCATTTTTAAAAGGGTGTGATCCCAGTGTGGCTCAGTGAATGGAGCATCATCCCATGGACTGAGAGGTCTCAGTTCAATTCCTGGTGAGGGCACATGCCTGGGTTTTGATCCCCATTAGGGGGTGTGCAGGAGGCAGTCGATCAACGTTTCTCTCTCACATCAATGTTTCTATTTCTCTAAAAAATATCAATAAAATAAATATTAAAAAAATTTAAGGGCATGATAATGGCATGGTTATGTTAAAAAGAGTATCTTTTAGAGATACATACTGAGTATCTGGAAGTGAAATGAGCTGTCTGGGATTTGCTTAAGGATTTAGTGGGAAGGAGAAAGTGGGCAGATCAGAAACATTGGCCAGGTACTGATAAATGCTGAAGCTGACTAATGAATAGACTTTTTATATATTTAAAATATTCCTTAATAAAAAGAGAAAACAACAAAAACAAAAACCCAAACCCAAACTACATATTACTGTAGTGTTATTGTGGGCTTTCTTCTTGCTTAGAAAATTCTTCGTAAAGCAATTAGAAATGCACGAACACTGATAGACAGGATTTAAGTGACACTGATTTCTGCATGAGGCTTGGTACTGGCATTCCTTGTTTTTGCCAAGCACCTACACTTTTCCCCTCTCCAGGGCTGTCCACTATTAAGGTGGGGCCTGTGGAAGGAGGCAGTGGTCTGGGCTGGACTCATCCACATGAAGGCAAATCATTGAGTTGAGCTTATGCCAGCCAAATCAGCATGAATTCTCTCGGCCACGGGGCTGGTTCAAGAATGGACTCCCATAGATACAGAGCCCCTTGCTCAGGCTTTAGGAAAACTTCCAGCTCTCTCCCAGTAGACCTAGAGAAAAGATACAGTTTGGATCTGCACTGAGCCACTTTGCCACATGATGGGGAGCTTGGGAATGAAACCAGTCTGAGGGTTGAGAAAAACTGGGTTCTGGTGTCTTTAGCTGAGCTCTGCATAAAGCTATTTCAGTTTTTTTCCACTTAAACCAGGGTGGCTTGAATGTTTTGCGAGTTGTAATTGAGAGTCCTAATAAAAATACAATTTCATGGCAAAAAATTCATATACTACATCAAGTTATACAATCAAAAGTGCTTTGATCATTGCCTCCCAAACCTGTCTCCTCCCAGAGGGATCACTGTTACCTGCTAACATGTATCTTTCCAGATCCTTCCTATGCATTTACTTACATGTGATACAGAAATGCAGTTGTGTGTGTATGACCTAAAGAGCATCACGTGGTCTACATATTCTGTATTCTGGCCTTTCTCACTTAAAAACAGCACAGTGCATATCTCCAGATGGTTCTTTCAAGTGCAACAAGATGTCAAACTAACTCTAAGTGATAACTTGTCTCTCTGGACAACCCATACCTGCAGTGGGCGTAGGTACAAGATGATGTTCCAGATGCTTTTGTAATTAGAAATAGATCTTGACAAAAGAACTGTAATTAGGAGATCCAGGAAAGGGAGATGGATGTGAAAGCATATTCTGACTGTTTCATCTTACGTGAGGCAACAGAGTACAGTGGAAATAAACCTTTGGTGAGGCCTCAGCTTGCTACCTACTAGTTACAGAACTGTCACTAACGGCTGACCTGTTTCTTCACTTATAATATCTGTTATGTTTATGGTTGAGGCCAAAATTAAGAGTGAGTATGAGAAGCACTTTGTAAGAGCAAAGCACTGTTCAATTTGTAGGCATTATGATTGTCTCATGTTCTCTACCCATTGGCTGTTGAAGCTCTTCTCATTTAAAATATCTATTTTCTGCCCTGGTCGGTTTTTCTCAGTGGTTAGACCATCGGCCTGTGGTCCAGAGAGACCCGGGTTCCGTTCCCGCCAAGGGCGCGTGCCTCGGTTGTGATTTGTCCCTGGCCCTGGTTGAGTCGTGCGGGTGGCAGCCACTCGATGTGTCCCTTTCACGTCGATGTTTCTTTCTCTCTCTTCCTCTCTCTCCCTACCACTCTACCTGAACAAAAAATGGAAAAATGTCCCTGGGTGAGGATAAAATATAATAAAATAAATAAAATATCTATTTTCAGTGTAAGTATAAAATCACTTGTTTTTACCCAGGAACTTAGCTGGTAAAAACAAGGTATCAATTTTTGAAGCATTTAGAGCAAAACAGAGAAATGTTCATTATTTAATTTCTTTCAGAACTCTGAAGGTGAAGTACATATCCGAAGCAGTTTTCTTTAGCAAATGCTTCTTGACCTGTCTTTCCTTCCAGGGGTCGAGTCTCTTAAACTTAATACAACTAAGTTTCTGACAACAATATAGTCTTAGTGAGTTCCAAACAACTAAGGGGAAATGAAAGTAAGACAAAGATGCAGGAAATACCAAGCTTTGAAATGAGAAAATCTAATAGCCTCTCTCACCATGAATGAACACAGGGGCTGTTTCAGGTGTGGGTGAAGTGTTATACTCGAACCCACACCTGTGTCAGAACAGGCACAGCTCCTAGTCATTACCACTATTGGGTTGAGAGATACCCACATACTATCAGTATGAAAAACCCCCACTTATTTTCCCCATTACTGCCACATAGCTAACACCCACTAACGGTAAGATGCACTGTCATTTTATGTGTCACACACACACACACACACACAAGAATGCAAATTAAAGTCACAGAATTGATAAAACAGGCAGGGGTTTTTTGGGTCTGTTTTGTTCATGGCTGTATTACCAACACCAAGAATACTGTACATAGTAATAAAAGCACACAGTAGACTCTCCATTCATGTTTGCTACACGCAACAATGAATAAATACATAAGGACAAATGAGCCCTTATGAATAAAACTGCAGCAGCGACCATTCTATGATTGGGAATACTCAGCATGAACAGTTAAAGCACTAGGACAACATTTAATTGCTTTAAGCAGTACAAAGACTTCTAATTTGTTTTTAAAATCACAAAGCTATGCTGCTGGTGGAGAGTTATATGTATCTGTAAGAGTAAAATCTCAGACTTTCTTTACTATGCCTAAGACAAGACGCAAAACAATTTGAGCCTGTCAATGAGATTCAAATGTCAGGCCAAGTTATTTCCAAACTTGTGTTTCTATTTTGATGGAGCACAGCTGTGGCAGAGACCTTGCTTATTTTGTCCCATCATCACTGTCTATGACATTCAGTTGCAGTTAGTTTTTTGAAGGCCCACTATACTCTGTGCAATGTGGATACAGCGTTGAACAAAATGTACCAGACAGATAACTAGGTATGATGGGTGCTAAAAAGAGAAAACCCTGGGGCAATGGTGTAAACCCACTGGCCTCATGCCCCTGCCTCAGCATTTCAGATCCTGGACCTGCTCACCAAAGGGGTTTGAGCAACAGGTTCTCTCTGGCTGTCTCAGCCCCATATGCATTGCATCTGGCCTTTCTTCTGTTCTTGCACACAGCCAGGCCCTTGCACGCCTGGATGTGCTCCCATTTCCAGCTAAGAAAACAGATGGAAGCTTACAGTGTTTTGGGGGAAGAGTGACACATTAACAGATAATTAAGAAGCAATGTAGCTAAGTGCTACAATAGAGACAAGCTGGATATTTCAGAATCCTAGAGGAGTGGGGGTGAGGTGATAAGAAAAGTGATCCTGAATACTGGGAATGGATCAAGGTGGGAATCTTTTTGGCATGCACAGGGAAAGGCAGAGAGGTGAGAAATAGGATATCGTACACCAGGACCCAGGAATAGTCTGCTTGATGGAGCAGGAAGCAGTCATGTAAGAGATGGGGTGCAAAGAAAAGTGGAGGAGAGACAATCTGCAGACTTGGAATTCCAGGAAGGTGGTGATGTAATCAGAGCTGTTTTACAAAGATGACTCTGAGCTGGTTTATGGAGGATGGGCTCAAGGGGGCACAAATGGAGTCAAAGAGATCAGTTAGGAAATAAGCAAGTACAAAGCCTAGACAAAATAAAGAAGATGGACCAGAAAAGAGTAATTCAGGAGATGAAACAGGTAGCACCAAGGGACATTGGATGTAGGGGTGGGGTAGGTGGGGATTGGAGAGGATGAGGAAGAGAGGAGTCCAGGACATTATCGTATATCCAACCAGATGTCTGAGTGATGGTGGGAACAAAATATGAAAGCACAGGTGGCAGAGGGTAGCAGAAGAGAAGAGGTTTTGGAGGGAAGACAATGAATCACTTTTACGCATTCTGAGTCTGAGGTGCCCGTGGAACATCCAGATGGAGATGCCAGGTTAGCAGGGCATAGATGAACTGAAAGTAGCAAAGGTCTGGGCTAGAAATTTAGGTTTATGAGCCCTCAGTATATCTGGGATACCTAAAACCATGAGGGTAGATTAATTTTGTCAGGGAGAGCCTAACAAAATTGAAGTCAGGAATTCTGGCCCTCCTTTCTCTTCCTAGTAGACTTCCCGTGAAATTATATTTTCCTTTTCCTGGGCGGTCTTCTGTGATTTCTAAATAAAATAAACTAACAATGTCAGTACAGGGGGAGATAATGTCTATTCTTTCAAGGAGACTCTAAATGTACTACTAAATAAACCAAACTTTTATCTCAGTGCAATAGAAAACCTCCATTTCGTTTTGTAGTTCACACCTCAGGACGCACAACGACCTACGGAACATATTTTGCACCGGGTAAAAGAAATCCTTTGAGGGCACCCACTGCAGTTAAAATCCAACTATAACCCCAACGCGACCCGGCCTCACCCTCCCTGACTTACTGGTCTCTTCCAGCCATTCCTCGGGCATGCTCCGCTCCTCCTCCCGCCTCTGTTCAGATCTGTTGAACATCACCCCAGAGTGGCCTTCCTGGACCAGCCTCCGTAGAGGAGCTCCCTCCTTCCCTGATCTCCATTTCCGTTACGCTATAAAAGCTCTGCTTTAGCGATCTCTCTGCCCCAACTCCACGAGCACATGTTCCTCTGGGGTAGGATGTCTTCTCTCCCGTAACCCCAGCTCCTAAAGGTACGGTCTAACGACGGCGTGAACCAATGAAGGGCACAGCAAGATAAATCAGGCTGACCCGACTGTTTGAGGGACAGGCTCGGTGTCGGACAGACTGGGTCTATCCTCAGCTTCCTCACTCACTGGGACTGTTTCAGCAGACTACCTAACCCCTGTCGGCCTCTGTCCCTCACACGTAAAACCAGACAAGACCCAGCAGGAAGCGGTTCCCACGGTGCGCACACACAGCAGCACGCGGCAGGAGTGCGAGTCAGTGCTCGGCCGGCGGCTCGGCGCCGGTCCGGCCGCCATGTGGCGCGGCTGACCGCCGGGCGCCCACCTGTCTCCTTCTGCGTCTTCACGCTGATGTACTGGCGCAGCTTCTTCACCGCCCGGTCCCGGATGCCCTTTTCGTGGGACGCCAGCCGTTGGGCGAACTGGATCTCGGCCGGCTGCATGGCAGGGGCCCTCGCGCCAACTGGAGCATCCCCGGCCACAGCCCACCACCCCTCACCCTCCCGCCGCTGCCAAGCGACCGCCGCCGAGCCGCTCCGGCCGCGACTGCGCACAACCCGGTGGCAGCGGCGGCGCGCGGGATGATGGCGTCACAATGGCGCCGGCGGTCACTCGCGGCGCGTTCTGGGAACGGGCGCCGCGGCCCCTGGCACCGGGAGAAACAACTCAGTGATGCTTTGCTTCGCGCCTTCGCCGTCTTTCGGTAGCCAGATCTCGGGGCCGTGGACGGCGAGGTTAGCCAGGGCTGGCTCGTGGCCAGGAAGAGTCGGATGGCCAATTGTAAATGGTCTACAGTCATTAAGTCCACTCACAAAAAGCCTCATTTGGTTGGCAGCTGTCTTACAAAATACACCGCACCGAGTGTTTCATTGTATTAGACTTCTTGTACTGCCCCAGCGGGTGGAGACTGGGAAGGGCCTTCTTCGGTTTCTCGGCGGGATGGTGGGGGCAGCCCCACTGAGAGGCCTCTAAGGCCGGCGTAGGCAGCGCACTCCAGCGTCCCCCAGTGTCTTGAGCCTGGTCAGGGGCAGTCCCGGGTGCGGGACCTCCGCAGGGCAGGGCAGGGCCGATGGCAGGTGCTGGGGCAGAGGGCAGGTCCCCGAGCGGAGGCAGGTCCTGGGGCAGGGGAAGAGCAAGTGCGGGCAGGTCCCAGGTCGGGTGCAGGGATGGGGAGAGCACGCACCCTGGGGACTCGGCAGTGTCCGCTTCCTGCGGTTTTCAGGGACCGACGGTCTTAGTTGTGTAGTGACCCGGTAAATTTCAACTCATAGGCTGCACCTATTTTGCTAACCGATTGGGCCTACTGGGGCAAGCGAATGGACTAGGTGACGTCTCCAAGTTACGATGGTCATCGCAGTTACAGCCAGCTGGCTGTACCGACACTCGCGATCAGGGACAGACTCCCCGAGGACCCTGCTGTCTGTCGCCGTTCCCCCCCACCCCCTTGCTAAAGGAGCCGAGAGCGAGCGCGAGTGTCAGTTCCCTGGAACGCATCGTTCCTTGGTCTAGCATCTCTCCCCAAACAGGAAAGGCCCGATTCTATTTATTTCACGTGACTCTTACACCTGGGTCTTACTGTGCTTCCACTTTGCAGCTAAGAAGTTCAAAACCCCGGTTAGGCCAGAAGAGCCGCCGCGGGATCCCGCCAAGCCCACCCTTCGTCCGCGAGGCGGAGAATGCTGCGCCACGTCTTCGAGGTTTGAGCCTTGCTGCTCTCCATACCCGGCCCGTCGTGGACACGTTCTCGCGCTAGTTCCCGCGCTTTCTGGCGTGAGCGGTCAGAGGGCGCACCGTCGCGCAGGCGCACGGAGCCGGGGCCGCGGCGGCCATGGGCGAGGCGGGCGGCGCTGAGGAGGCCTGCGGGGTCAGTGAGGACGCCCTGGGCCGCCGCCCGCGTGTCTGAGCTGTCACCATGTGCTGCCCCGCGCTGTGCTGCGGTCTGTGCGGGCTTCTCCCAGCGCGCTTGGGAATGGCCCTGGGCCACTTTGGCCGACAGCTTGGCCTCGGCCTGCGGCGCGGGCCGAGCCATCCTGCCCCTGAAACCGTGGACGCGGGTCCAGGAGGCTGCGCGGTGGGGCAGAGGCCGCGCGCTCAGGAGATGATGGTGGGGCTCTGACCCCCGGAGCCCACCCTCCCCGCGGGGCAGTGGTGCTTGTGTCAGGCTTAGTGTAGGTTCGGACCCCGCCCCCCTTCCACCGCGCGCGATGTAGGAGAAGGATCGCGGTTCTGTCCCGTTAATGACGGTCCTTGGAGAAAGTTACCTGGACACACCTTGAAGGGTGGTGGTCAACCCTGACCGAGGTGGACAGCCAAGGGCTTGGGCACCCAGGAGGCGTCCAGGCAACTTCTTTTCGTCCCGATTAGCTTGGCTCTGAAACATTAAGGAAAAGTTGCCGGGTTGTCTGACTTGCAGGCGTGGGGCCGCGTGTGCGCTTAAAGACACAGCTGCCATGACGAAGGCTGGGGCCCCAGCCCTAAGCGGGAACACACAGCCGCGGGTACCGTCGGTAGAGACCTGCTTTCGAAAGTAGGCGCGTAGGCGGCGTGAAAAAGGAAGCGAGCCGCCGGGCTCGCTGGTTTTAGCTGAAGAGACATGCAATCTGAAGATCTCTTTGTTCTTTTAGCTCATGGGAACAAAAGAAGAATTTGTTAAAGTCCGAAAAAAGGACCTGGAACGGCTGACAACGGAAGTGATGCAAATTCGGGACTTCTTACCCAGAATACTAAATGGGGAAGTACTGGAAAGCTTCCAGAAATTAAAGATTGTAGAAAAAAGTGAGTCTTCCTTCACCTCTCCCAGTCATGGCTGGTGGCAGCAGTCTGTTCCAGCAGGTTTACCTTAGGTAGATAACGGTCAAGTAGTGGTAAATAAACTTCAAGGTATAGTCCTTAATCACATTTGGGAGAGTCAGGTAAGACATGAGAAAGGGAGAAGCTCCAGTGAGTGGGTAACTGGGACGTGTGTGACGTTCGTGTTGGAGGAAGGGTTGCTAACTTTCCTTGGCAAAAGAATTTTATACTTAAAACAAATATATATATATGTTTTTGTTGATTTTTTTAGAGAGAGAGGAGGGAGAGAGAGAAACATTGATGTGAGAAACATCAACAGGCTGCCTCCTGCTCACCCCCAACTGGGGATCGAGCCTGCAACCCGGGTATGTGCCCTGACCGGGAATCGAACCCCGACCTCTCAGTCCGTGGGACAACGCTCAGTCCACTGAGCCATATCAGCCGGGCAAGAACTTTATACTTTTATAATTTAGAAGCTCTGCTCTAAACATTGTCTTTTATGGTGGAAGTTAAGGGTATTGCCATGGAGTTAAATGTGTCTGTAGAGGTGGCTGGATGTGTGTTTACTTGTCTCTAGGTTGATGGATTGGTCAGTTTCTAGCACTGGTTTAAGTTCCAGCCTGCTAGGACTTGTCCGTTTAAACTTTGAGATTTGAGCTGAGCTGTTATGTCAGATACCAGTCTAGGAGCTTATTGACATTCTTGGGGATATACTAGAATTGATTGAGCACTTGCCTAATTGAGGCTGAATTACAATTAAATCAACTTTCAGTGGTTAAGGTTAACTAACCCCAGTGCCCCTGACCGTTTTCCATCACCTATAGAAAAGATGCATCTAGAAGATCTAGGTTGTGTTTCTAACACTAGTCCAGACAAGAAAGTATCTTAACAGTACCAGTTTGGTTTGAGCAAATGTGTTTGGTCAAGGGGCAGCCATATCCACTTGGAAGAGAGAATGCTCATGGTTACCATAGCTCCCTGTCCTATTTACTTTCTCTTTGGAATCCTCAGATCTACTCTCCTCTGCTGTGAGCTGAGGACTCCTGCAGAATGCTTGCCTCTGGCTCCCTTACTGCCTGTCAGTAGGGCTCACCAGTGGAAGGCATCAGTAGTCAGAGAGAGGGTTTGGGGTGTTTCTTCCTGCTCTCTCCACAGCTGTGACTCCCCCTAAGGCCTTCTCCACAGTCTTGGCTCTCACTGGGCTCCAGTACCACTGTTTTCTCCCCTCATTCCTTCAGCTGAGGGTCATTGCTAGTCCCTGGGTGCTTCACCATTCCTGTTGGGTCTCTTATTCTTGCTCTCCCATGAAGTCGCAACATCTGGGTTAATTTGTTTCCCATCGGGACCTTGCTGGATACATCCATGTCACTGGTTCCCATAGCCTCAAGGTCATTGCTTTCTTAAATTTGCCAGTTGTGATGACATGCTCATCCAGCAACCTTCTAAGAACAGTTAGCCATCCCAAGCATATTTATCTTTAGGTAAGGGAAGTGTTAACCAGGAGCAGAGCATGTCAGTCTGCTGGGTGGTTATGGTTCTCACTGCAATTTAAAAAACTGGCATTCTGAAAAATGCATCAGGGTCTCATGAATGAATTAGCATGAGTCAGTCTTTGGAGATCAAGCCCCTACCAAAATCAAATTGTGCTTACAAAAGCAAGGACCACACATGAATGTGATGATGTGATCGAAGTTAGACTTGAAGAGATCCTGCCCCAAAGTCCCTGGCTTTCCCTGGGCCATGTCATTAACCACTTTTTTTTTTTTTGTAGTTAACCTCTTTTTTCACTGATCTCTCAAGTAATTTCTTCTCAGTCTCCTTTGCTGATTTATCTTACTCTGCAGCAGCCTGTCAGCCAGTGGAGTTTCCTGAGGCTCAGGCCTGGGCCCACTGTCCCCTCACTCCGGGGCCTCTCTGGGCAGTCCAGGCACGCACATCCGATGCCTCAGTTCCATCTTGGTGCCAGTGGCTCCTGGTTTTATCTCTAGCTCAGATTGTTCCAGGCTCAGAGCCCTGTATCTAAAGGCTACGTAGCGTAGCGTTTCTTCTCACCCGTTTGGCAGTCATTTCAAATTCTAAATGTCTTTCTTCGTCTAATTAGACCTTGACTATTAGGAAGGACCTGATAGTCTCACAAGATCAGGTTTACTGGCTCATTGCAGTGAGGGAGACCACACACCAGAGGAGCTATGGGCATTGTGCCAACAAAGGGAATGACAGAGTTGCTGTAGGATTTGAGGTAGGGTGGAATTTAGGTTAAGTGGAAATGAAGCCATGTTTTGATGGGCTCCAAGCAAAGTAGGGCTGTATGCGAAGGGGTCAGCATAAGGTGTCACTGCAGTGGAACCAGGTCCCATTTCCTTTAAAACTAAAAAATTTACGTAGATGGTGAACATAGTGTCTGAAAATCCTATTTGAGTCTCTGTAGCTAGCAGGAAATCAAGGCTCTGCTGTGTCACAGTGATTTTGATTCTGCAGGCGAGAAGCAAAATTTCTGGTAGTGTGGGATTTTACAGAATAGCTTTCTCTGAATAAGAAACTAGCAGTCACTGGAAGAAGGGGTCATGATGATACTTTTACAGTTGCAGTGTGTCCTTGGGAGAAATATTGTTTCCTGTTAACTTGGCAACTGGCTTTATGTGTGTCTGTTATCCCAGCCTGACAAATCATAGGACAGACTTTCACTTTATCAGAGCAA